AAAAAAAAAAAAAAGAAGAAATACCCTGTATGCGGCTTTTGGGTAGGAGTGCTGGGCTTAAAATATCTGCTCAGTGCCAGGCGCACGGTAGGTCTTCGCCACATGGTGGATTTCTTCTTTCCAGAAGAGGGAGCACAGAGCCAGAGCAGGACGCAACCCGGGAAAGTAGCTTGAGGGTAAAGAGTAGAACCAGGAAGAAGTAATTGTAACCCCATGAGGAAGTGAAGGTGGAGATGTTGGAGCTCAGGTCACCTCCACCTCATTTTGGTCTTTTGTTACTCATAGGCACAAAGAAAGAATAGGAACCCCAGACAGGGTATGCCAAGCAGAGTTCCGAAGGTGAGAGAAGATAGTTGGTGTAGCTCTGCTCAGGAAAACAATGGAGATTCTCCCCCACCTTTTGCCACAATGAGACCCCCTGCTTCTGGTTCCTGAAGACTTGATTCTGAGTGTGGGGGTCTGTGGAGTGATGATTCCCGGAGCTGGGAGCTCAGGCTCTCAGACACTACGCAGCCCAGGATGAGGAATCGGCATTTCCACATTCCCAGGCAGCTCCAGCTTTGCCCAAGGAGGAGTAGATGCCTGACACTGTGGTGCCATCTCAGAGGACCATGAAAGCCCCCATCCTGTTGGTTACTTGCCTAAAGGCTGAACTTCCCATTATAATGCAAATACTACAGAGAAGTAGCATGGTCCCCCCACCAGTCCCTCCACCTCTGCATGGATGAGTTGATCCCATTCTTTCCTGGGAGCAGGAAATTCACAAAGGTGAAGAGGGGTTTCAGGCATAAAGCAGCTGGACAGGATAGGAGGAGGATATCACTGAAAAGAACTTACATAGACACCGAGGCCCGACTTGGCCTTAATAACTTTTCTGTGTCAGTTCTTGCTCATAAGGCCTTTCTATTAACTTGTGTGTGTTTGTTTGGTGACACTCTGCAATACAGTTTCCTATCTACAGAGAATAAAAAAGGCATTTCGGGTTAGAACAAAGTAAGAGTTGAACATCTTTTTGACCTAACACAGATAGAGCCTCCCACTTTGCCAAGGGCACCAGAGGCACAGAGCATTCCCCAGAGGCTGCTGTGGTGGCCAAGACTTCAACCGGGTGTCAGGATCCTTGGGCTGTGCCACCCAAGGCAAGTCACATCCTCTTTGAGCCTTGTTTTTCTCATCTATAAAATAGGGATGCTATGTCAAAGAATAGCCAGAGCTGGACAGTAGTTAAGGCAGTAAAAAGTATTCAGGACTATTTTTATCCAGGACTATTACAATAAGGGGGAAAGGACCTCAGTACAGAATCGGGCTCAGTTCTGAATACTCATACATCATGGGCAAGTGGGAATTAAAACCAAGGGGCAGGGCTGGGGTCAGTGGATGAAAAATGATTAAGAGAAACAAACCATCACGGGTAAGGGAGATTCTGGCTAAGCTAACCTAACAAGGTTTTCTGCTGAAGACCAGACAGTGTGATTAGACATCACTTGGGGGATGGAGGAGAAGGAGGAACCTGATCAGATATTGGCGGTTGTCAGGTATTAAGGAGGGCCACTCATGCTAAACTGACTTAGCAGGCTTTTTGCTAAAACTGGATTTTATAAGGAAGTGCACAGATGGGCCTAGAAGAAGTTTCAAGAAGCTGACTAAAGTTTGGCCAAGCAAAGAATCTTTGTCAAATAACAACTGCCCAAAAGGTTGTGAGACTGGAAAGAGCTCATACACATTAAAGTGCTTTACAAATGTGAAGACACCTGTAGAGGGCACTTGGCTCCTCATTTCATCCTGACATCATCCCCGAAGGTAGAAACAAATGAGGGAAGCCAGGGAGGAGGACTCTGGAAAAGATGTCCAGGCTCATCTGCATACCGAGGTCTTTCCTTCTGCGTCCCCTTCGGGGTTTATGACATTGGCATATTCAAATCTAATTCATCTTCTCCTTGCCTACCTCCAGTTCCTTCCTCAGTTTCCCTTTTGAGCCCAGCTCCTTCTCAACTGGCCCATTTTCCAGAGTTGGGATGCTTCTAGGGCTTTGTAATAAATGCCTCTCTCTTTATCTGTTTGTCCTTCCTTCTCCCTTCCCATGGCACCTGATGGGGCCAAAGAGGGGTGAGTAAGAGAGGAGGAAATAAGTAGATTCTGAGTTCTGGGGCAGGAATCTAAAACCAAGTTTAAGTTGATATTCCATGGGGCAAGGGGGAAGCAAGACACTCAGTCTGGACTTCAGGTATAAGAAATTTTGAGTAAGGATAAGATTATGACCTTTTCACATGGAAAGAAGACAAAGGCTTGGTTTGTCAGACACAGCCTGGGTTCTAGGCAACAAGGTCAAGATCTTAAAAAGAGATTTTTCTTCTAAGTTAATCAAAGCAGAAGGCCCTCGTTTTGGGAGGGCTCCCTAAAATTCCTTACCCCCCTACAATTTATGTCCTGATAGACCTTCATGCTGCTACTAGTTACTTCTGGTCACACTGTATCACTTAGACTGAGATGGGGCAGAAATTCCAACATTTATTAAGTCTGATTTATTAAGGCTTAAATAAAAAAAAACATAACTAGAATGTCAGGTCCTGTGTATGTCCCCATAATCCTGTGAGGTGCATATCATTCTCCCCACCTCACATGTGCGGAAACTGAGGTTCAGGATGATGAACACGTACCCTTTTCATCCCTGAGTCATAGTCCATGTTGGGTGATCAAGTGAAACTGGAAAATGCTAACTCTCTTGTCACACTTGCCCAGGTCATACAATAAGCCACAAAAGCTGGAATTCAAGCCTGGGTCTGCCAGGCTCCAAAGCAAAAGAGGGGAATTAACATGCATCCGTGCTTACTCTATGCTGAACTACGTTATTTTCCCAAGATACCGAGGTGCACCTTTAAGAAAGGATTCAGTGTCCAGCTGCAAGGAGAGTGGTTAGTTGGCAGCCTCCAGCTGTTAGCTCCTTCAGGGTGGCCTCAGCTTTCAATATCATGCTTTTCTAGGGGTGACCCTTGGCTCAGTGACTGAGCAAGGCAATGGTGCCAGGGACTGGCTATTTCTACCCCTGCAGGACTCCTCTAACAGGCAGCCTGCACCCCAGAGCGTCCCACGAGGTTGACAGGTACATTGTGACTTTGTCAGCTTTGTCAGCCCCCCTGCCCAATCCCGCCTCTTCCCTGTTCCTTTCGTAAGTATTATTCCCAATAAGTCTTTCCATTTTGCTCCATCTCAGTATTTGCTTCCAGAAGGACTCAACCCGAAACACTTAGAAGAGGATGACTATTTTACAGATGTAGAAACTGACCCTCTGTGCCGGGATTCAAATTTAGATCTGGACCACTCCAAATTCTCTTTCTACTGCTTCATACTCAACAGTTCAGCTAGTGGGTGTGTGGGCTGGATGGGCCTGGCACACTGCTATGGACAGTAATTTTGTCCATGAAAAGTATGTGATCTGCTTGCCAAGACAAAATGTTCATACTGCAAGAGACAAAGACCAATGGGATTTACTCCGGGGCCCGGTGACTGGACTCTCATCAGGAGTGTGCTGTGTGCTGGTGTCGATGCCACTGCAGATGGGGGAGCCGAGGTGGTGAAGAAGCCCCACTCCTGAGGCCTCGGACCCCAGGCCTTGGTGAAAGCAGGGGCCCTGGAGTTTGGGCCACACAAAGGCTCCCATCATTCTCTCAGGATTGGTTCTCTCAGTTCTTTGCTCTAAAAGTGAAGGGCATTTTCACACTAACTATCTCATTTCCTTTCTCATTTTACCACATGAGGCAGATGGGGTCACAATACCTACCCAACCAACATCTTCTGGGCAGATGTTGGAGGGGCCATCCTGATTGCACAGTCACGGCTCAAGGGACAGTAGTGACTTGAGGCCCAGAAATCTAAATATATCCACTCACTCAACTTCAAGGAGAAGAAAACTTAGGCCAGGAAGTTAGCAACAGTCCTAAGTCAAACGCCCAGAATCCACATGCCCAGATTTGCTACCTGTGTTCTACGGTTACGTTTCCCTCTTTAAATTATGA